ACCTCGCAGTCATGCTCCTGCCTCATAAACCAGTGTGTTATTAATATATGATTTAACGCAACAAGATCACCTCATTTTTAATTTTGGAGTCCAGTCTGTCTTTGTTCTTTTTCTTCTCTGTGCCTGTTGTGTTTCATTTAGGAAATTTTTGCCTGCCCGAAGGTTGTGGTGTTAGCTGTGTGTTGCTGGATAACCAGTTGTCCCCAGATGTAGTAGCTGGGAACAAAACACACTGATTTTCCTACAGTTCTGTACATCAGAACTCTGAAAGCCGCTCACCTGGGTGGTATGAGAGGTCCCGCTGCTGGAGGCCGACTCATCTCAGCGCTTGGGTGGACAGATGGCTTCCTGGCCCGCCTCTGGGGTTGTCGGCCGGATGCAGTTCCCCAGGACCCCAGTTCCCCGCTGGCTTGGCTGGGAGCACTTAGCTTCTGCCGGTTTTGGTAGGTGGACCTTTCCACAGGCCAGCATGGTAGTTGCTGTCCCTCAGGAAGAGGCCCTGAACTGTGTAGCCCAGGCTGACCTGGGACTCATAGCAGTCCTGCCTCAGCCTCCCAAGTGCTGGGATCACAGGCGTGTGCCACCACACCCAGCTCCCTATGTTACAGAGGTTTCACAGTTTGAGCTTTTGTATTTAGGGATCTGATTCATTTCAAGTTTATTTCTGGTATTGGTCAGGGAACAATATACATTTCAAGATTTCTCTGTTTTATTGCACTGCCAGGTAGGATTTCTGTGTAGTAATGATCACAGTCCTGTCATTTTCATGTTGGTCAGACAAAACAGCAAGGACTTCTGAAATTTTCACTGGTTTAATGCGTACCCAAGTAAAACAGTGTCACTTCATAGCGATCAGTGTGGGATTCCCGATAGAGGAGGGAAACAGGGCCGGTCTTTGTGACCGTGCAGTTCTTTTGCAGCATCAAAGGGGAAAGTAAACTGTATCAAACAGCTACAGTAAATTAGCTGGGCATGATGCTATACAGTTATAAGCCAGGCACTTTGGGAGGCTGAGGCAGGAGGATCCCAAGTTCAAGCCCAGTCTGGGCAACTTAGTGAGACCTTGTCTCAAAATAAACATTAAAAAAGGGCTGAACATGGAGCTCAGTGCAAAGGCCCTGGGTTCAATTCCAGAGCCAAAAAGAGGGGGAGGGGAAGTGAAAGGAGCTGTTTTTTTTTTATTTAAAAAAAAAAAAAGAATGAAAACATATTCACAAACATACATACACTTAAAAATAACACAAGAACAATACAAGCAATACTGAATTTCAGACAAGGTGATAGGAAATTAACAATGGTTGTTGTATTACGTATTGATTTCTTCAAAGTGGTTTCTCAGGAAAACAAATAGAGCCATGCAAGATAGATCAAATAATTAATCATTAACTGTTCCTTTCGCTAAAGCGATAGAAGTCAGTAGTACAACTCTGTTAGTGATCCTGCATATACATACTTACATAATTTCCCCTTCTGTCTTTTCTCTTTTCCCCCATCCCAGTGGCTCTTTACTTTTGAGCAGTTTCTTTTCCTTTAGGAGCTTCTGTTGTTGCCTTGCTGTTGCAGGCAGTGGGCTCCCTCTGAGGACGGTGACTTCTGGGAAGGCCGAGGCTGCATCTCGCGCTGCCCGCGGGGGTCAGGCCTGGGCGGAAGCCATCCGCGCTCAGTGGGGTGGGCTGGGGCGGGGGGGAAGAGCGCCTGACTTGCACCCAGGCTCACCTTGCACTCACTCGCGTGTGAGAGGCACGGCTTCAGTTCATGGCACTGTTGCTCTGAGGACGGTTTTGGACCTTCTGAGTTATTCCCTTTACAGAGCCATCCTGGCTGTCTTCTCTTTTGATCTCCATTTGCTTTTTTCTGGCCTCCTGTTCTTAACCGTTTTCTAAAATGCTTCCCCCTTTCTGAGATTTGGTATCTTTATCCACTTCACTAATATTTGCAGTTTTTTAATTTTTGTTTTAGTTTTTTTCTGTATTGGGGATCAAACCCAGGGGTTCGCTACTGCTGAGCTACATCCCTGCTCCTTTTTGTTTTTGTTTTTTTTCCTGTACCTGGAATTGAACTCATGACCTTGTGATTGCCAGGCAGGCGCTGTGCCGCTGAGCTAAAGCCCCAGCCCATCCCTGCTCCTTTTTATTTTTTATTTTGAGACAGGACCTCACTAAATTGTTCAGGCTGGCTCCAATTTACAACCTTCCTGCCTCAGCCTCTTAAGTAGCTAGGATTACAGGGATATGTCATCACACCTTGCTTTGTATTTGCAATTTTATTGGTGAAGATTATAATTCAAAGATGTTGGCTCTGTCCTCTTATCGCTGGGCAGCAGAATTCTTTTCTGACTTTTCCTGGAATGCTCTTAACTTTGTCTCCTTAACTTATTTTTCAGTGTTGGGGACAAACCCGGGCCCTTGTACCTGCTAGGCAAGAGCTTCATTGCTGAGCTACACCCCAGGCTTTTTTCCTCACTTTGTTTGTTTGGTCTTTGTGAGACAGGGTCTTGCTATGCAGTTCAGGCTGGTCTTGAGCTCACTTTGTATCCCACGCTGGTCTCGAACTCGCAGTGATCCTCCTGCCTCAGCCTCCCGAGTGCTGGGATTACAGGTGTGCGCCACCACACCTGGCTATTTCCTCACTTTGAAAACAGCAAAGACCGCTTGATGGTGCCTGGAATGTGCCTGGCATTGCTTCTTTGTATATTTATATCACATTTTCCCAAAAGGTGTGCATCCTCTTTTCTAATAGGTGCAGGTGAGTTCCTGTTAGGCTTGACACTTTTTTTTTTTTTTTTTGTCCTTTTGAGACAGGGTCTCGCTATGCAGTTCAGGCTGGGCTTGAGCTCACTTTGTAGTCCAGGTTGGTCCCGAACTCGCAATGATCCTTGTGTCTCAGCCTCCCGAGTCCTGGGATTACAGGCGTGCACCGCCACACCCAGAGAGGCTTGACACTTCCGTAGGATCGAAGTCAGAGAAGTGTTTCCCGGAGGAAGCAGTGTCAGAAATCTTTGCATTGGAATCATTTTTGTAACAGTCCATTGAAGGAAAGTGGACCCGACTTTCTTGTCCTGTGTATGACCTTGATGTTCATCTGCTCATCCTTTCTTTCTCGGCTCTCACAGAGCCCACAGATCCTTCTCAAAGGAGTCGGTAGTCACAACTGTATGCTGCGTGTCTTTTCCTCCGCAAAGGAACAGGAGGATAAGAGCATTGTCTCCTAGGAATCCAGCACCGGAGAACCGTGAGTCATTGATGTTTTTGTGTGTTTGGCCGTCTGTCAGTTAGCAGTTCGCTCTTCACCAGAATTAAAAAATCGTTGTAATAATCCCAGCACTTGGGAGGCTGAGGCAGGAGAATCACCATAAGTTTGAAGCCAGCCTGGGCTACACAGTGAGACCCTGTCTCAAAAAAAAAAAAAAAAAAAAATTGCTGTAAGCTGTGATGCACATGTTTAACCTCAGGTTGCTGAAATAGTGGTTTCTTTAAATCATAAAGGGTAGCATAAGTGCAGAGGGAGTCCAGCCTTGTGAAGCTTTTCTTCTTCTTTTAATCTGTTGGGCCTCAGGGTTTATTGTGCGGTTTTGGGGCCAGGTTGCTGGTAGACTCGGCCCTGCTACCAAAGCCCGGTAAACTTTGTTCTCCCTGTTGTGCTTAAGCCCTGAAACTGTGCTGTTTTTATCTGTTCTTGAGCAGGCGGAGGTAAGAGGTTAGTCCTAATAAAAGGTAAAGGAATTAATGTGATCTTGAGCGCCTCTTGTAAGATATTAGATAAAAAATTTGGGAGAAATTTTGTATGGGCAAGGAGATTTTTCTTTTTATCCAAAATCAGACCTTATTGCTTCTTGGCCTTTTTGGATAAGATCAAGTACAAAATTGGACCTCCTGTGGCTGGCCCAGAAGGAAAACCTGGGTTTTTTGTTTTGTTGTGTTTGAGACAGGGTCTCGCTATGTAGTTCAGGCTGGCCTGGCCTCACTGTGTAGCCCAGGCTGGCCTCGAATTTACGGCGATCCTCCTGCCTCAGCCTCCCTATTGCTGGGATGGCAGGCGTGCGCCACCACGCCTGGCTCTGAAAGCCTGTTTGCGTACTTTGGAGCTGGGGATAAGAAATGCTTGTCAGCATGGTTTCTTTTCTTCTTCTTTTAATCTGTTGGACCAGCGGGGAGCCAGCGAGCTGAAGTCCTGCTCCCAGCTACAGGGGCCAACACTGGGGCTGGACCTGTGAGTGACCCTCCCACCAGCATTTTCCTACCCCCAGTCCTGTCCTTTCCTCCCCTAGGAGCCGGATGGGAAGGATCCAGAGTCCATCCCAGCAATGATTTTTCTTTGTGTGACATTCTAATGTACACAGTTGACTTTATTGGTTTTTTTTTTTTTTTTTTTTCTTTTGAGACAGGGTCTCGCTATGCAGTTCAGGCTGGCCTTGAGTTCACTTTGTAGCCCAGGCTGGCCTCGAACTCACAAGGATCCTCCTGCCTCAGCCTCCCGAGTGCTGAGATGACAGGCGTGCGCCACCATGCCCTGCTAACAGTTGACTAAGCAACTGCACATACTTGACAGGTTCCCTCCCTCCCATGAGCATTTCAAATATTTCAGAATTGTGAGTCAGAGCTGCATAGGACAGGAGAGCAGAGGGAACCAGCAGTGAGCAAGGAGACAGGATTTTCAAGCATTTTATGGTCACAGAACTCTGCTTGGGGTCCTGGAGAGACTTCCCGGAAGTTCAGTGTAAGCTTTGTCCCCAAGAGCCCGTTTTTTTCCATCTTCAGGACCACACTGCAACCCAGGAGGCGGGTGTCCGGCGCTGCAGACCCTAAGCCAGGCCTTGTGTTAAGCTGGAGTGTGGACATGATTTCTTACCTTATTTGAGGAAATGTACATTTTTTGTTCCTATTGAAGGTCAGGGTGTCCGTGTCTGAGCTATTGCTGCTGTCAGTGGTGGGGAAGAAGCTCAATTACATGGGTTTTCAAACCTGAGCAATAGGCCGGGCGTGGCAGCGCACACCTGTCATCCCAGCACTTGGGAGGCTGAGGCAGGAGCATCTTGCGAATTTGAGGCCAACCTGGGCTACAAAGTGAGCTCAAGGCCAGCCTGAACTGCATAGCGAGACCCTGTCTCAAAAAGACACAAAACAAACAAATAAACAAAACAAACATGAGCAATAATTATTGTTTTGATTATTCTCTTCCTCCTCTCCCCTCTTTCTTTCTCTCTGGTACTGGGAATTGAACCAGGGTCTTTGCACTGAGCTACACTCCCCTTTTTTTGTGTTTGTTTTGTGTTATACAAGGCCTCCCTACACCATTAAGTTTCCCAGGCTGGGCTCAAACTTTTAATCCTCTTGCCTCAGCCTCCCAGAGTGTTGAGATTACGGGTTGGCGCCGCCATGCACCCTGCTGCCCTTACCTGATTATCTTAACAGAACCGGGGCCTCCTGAAGACCCTGCCCTCTTTATCCTCTCTCAGGCCTTGGCCAGGTTCTGGGGCCTGCATTGTTGTTTTCCCGGTGCTGAGACCTTGGGTGCTTGCTGGCCCCGGGTACCACCCTTCCTTAGTTCCACCTCGTTGCCTCCGACACACTCCCGGAGTGCTCCAGAGCCTTCCCTGCGGCTCCCTCAGCTCCTCCCACACCCTGTGTGTGTTCCCGGCCTCCTCTGCGCTCACCTGTGGCCCCACTGTCCCTGCCCCGTGGATCCTCTGCTTCTCGCCTACGGCCTGGCTGGGAACCTGAAGGTGCCTCCTCCGCTGGACCAGGGCCGAAGGCGCTGTGGCTCCCCAGGTCCTGGCTCAGTGGGAACTGGGAACGGAGGTTTATGAAATCTGTTTCCCTCTGCTGGCCTCCGGAACAATGCAGGCTCTTGGTGAATCATCACCCACGCCTCGGTGCAGCTGGCAGGATTTCCACCTGAGCCCCTGAGAGAACCCTGACGTTTCCTGGGTCCAGTGCTTACGCTCCTCTCATTCTGCTTCTTTTATGAGCCTTCCTCTATTATCTCCGAGCATTGGAGACCCAGATTCCGGTTCCTGAGCTATCACTTGGGTAGCTCTGTGGCCCTGGGGGAAGGGAGCAGAAGTACAAGGCAGTCCTGACTTAGGAAGTGGACATATTAATGCCCTTCCTGCGGAAAGGCACCCTTTCAGGGCCCGTGGGAGTTCTGCCCTTCCTTCCAATTTCAGAGTATACGATGCTAAATCTGTCCCAGGGGTACAGCCCTCATTGCTGGTTGAATATTTTTTTTAAAGGAGAATTTAGCCAGGCGTGGTGGGGCATACCTGTAATCCCAGTACTCGGGAGGCTGAGGCAGGAGGATGGTTGTGAGTTCGAGACCAGTCTGGGCTACAAAGTGAGCTCAAGAGCAGCCTGAACTGCGTAAGATTTTAATTGTGGGCTAATGGCCCACTAACCTGGGGCTGTTTTACTGAGTGCCAGCATTTGTTCAATTTGGGTGGGCTAGGGAGAAAGCAGCCTAGTGCAGGGGAGGCCGTGTGATTTGCACCTTGAAGAAGAAATAGGAATTTCTGCGTGACTCGGGCGGGTGGCGACTCGGGCAGAGGGAGCAGCGCTCACAAAGGCGCGGAGGAATCACAGCGCGGCCCCTGCCATTTCCGGAGCGTGAGCTGTATTCGAGGGGAGTGGGAATGAGGCTGGTAGAATGGGCGAGAGCCGAGCCAAGCACGCACGTGTGGAGCAGCAAATTATGCGGGTCTCGATGCTATGCCGGGGCGCGGGGTCGTAAGAGACCTGGCGCAAGGTCCAGCCCCAGCCAGTCTTAACCTGATCTGATGCTGGTGTGGTTTGCAGTTACTAGCAGGCAAACCTGAGTGCAGGCGGGCACAGTGGTTAAAACTGAAACGCAAATAACCATGTTTAAAACAAAAAGTTTTTTAAGTAACCCAATAACGAGGGCAAATGATCTGAATAGATTCTCACAAGCAGAAACACCAGTGACTACCGCGGGAAGACAAGTGGCAGGCGGGATTTGGCCTGCGGGCTGTAGCTTGTTGGCCTTTGACTTAAAAGATCTTGTTCTTCTCAGGTCAACACTGAAGTCTCAGATCGTTCTGCCAAATGCGCTGGTTAGGTGGAAATCAGCCATGGTGTGGGCTGACTGCCCGGAGTCTGTTTTTAGCCACCGTCAGCTCTAAATCTAGGGTTATCTACCATCTGGGCGGGCTTACACTTGACCTGTTGGTGTCTCCGGTGAGCGGCTGGTCCGGGCCACTTCAGGATCCCTCTCATCCCAATTCTCATTTTTTTCCCCCTCAGTTCTCATTTTTATTTATTTATTTATTTATTTATTTCTGGTACCGGGAATCGAACCCACGACCTTGCACTTGCCAGGCAGGTGCTGTGCCGCTGAACTAAATCCCCAGCGCCCCCAATTCTCATTTTTAAAACCATAAAAATCCAACCCACTTTCTTTGTTTTGGCCCCTCCCCAAAATTCTTTTTGAAGCTCTCTCCTCCCTGCTTCGGCTCTGGTGCACCTCCCCGCGTTCCTTCCTGCACCCTTCCCTTTTCTGTTTTTCTTTTCTTTTTTCTTTTTGGTTTTTGGAGACCGGGTCTCCTCCTGTGGCGCTCAGACTGGCCTGGAACTTGAAGTGCTCCTGCCTCAGCCTGCAGAGTGCTGGGATCCCAGCCTGCACCGCCGCGCGGGGCCCTCTACTTTGTCGCTTTAAAGACACAGATCTTTTCCTCCGGTAGGGGGCACTCTTCCAAGCATGGTTTCGCACTCGGAGCTGAGGACGCTGTTCTGCTCGGCGGACGCCGTGTGCTTCGACGTGGACAGCACGGTGATCCGAGAGGAAGGCATCGACGAGCTGGCCAAGTTCTGCGGCGTGGAGGACGCCGTGTCGGAAATGTAGGGGCGGCTGGCGGGAGGAGGCGCGGGGCTCCCCCTTCCCCGTCCCCGGGCTGGCTTGTCTGCGCCCTCTCCACACTCGTGCGCAGTAGCATCCGTGACAAGTGGCAGGCACAGTCGTCCCCGGCAGGCAGACCAGAGGAGGCGCGTTTAGCATGGACAGAAAGAGGAAGGCAGCCGGGCCCTCCTAGGGCTGGGGATTATATGGCCTCGGCAGGCCCCTGAAGAGTCAGGTTGGGGCCAGAGTCCCTTGGGATCCCAGCTCAGAGCCCTCCTCCCGCCTTTTTTTGAGACAGGGTCTCTCTCTGTAACTCAGGCTGGCCTTGAACTCTCGGCGATCCTCCTGCCTCAGCCTCCTGAGTGCGGGTATCACAGGTGTGCGTTGCCACGCCCGTTAAGATTCCTTCCTCCTTTTTGCCCTACCTGGAAGCAGTGGAGCCTCCCTGTGCTCCCCCCTGTCGCTAGGTCACAGACTGTTTTGTGCTGAGGTGCGGGGATGTGACAGTGGCCGCCCTTCGGGTTCCTTATTGGCTCAGAAGAGCTCCTAGCTTCCAGCGAGGTCCCTGTGGACTGACTCGTGGCTTCCTGCGGTGAGGGAGGTTGGATTTGTGGGTGCGGAGTACACCACGCTCCTGGGCGGGGCTTGGAGGGGCTGCGGAAGCCACTGGGACCCAGGCTGCCCGGCTGACTGACTCTGGGTCTCACCTAGGACGCGGCGCGCCATGGGCGGGGCAGTGCCCTTCCAGGTGGCGCTGGCCGAGCGCCTGGCGCTGATCCGGCCGTCCAGGGAGCAGGTGCAGAGACTGCTGGCCGAGCACCCGCCGCACCTGACCCCCGGCGTGAGGTAAGGCGGCCAGGTTCCCGTCCTGGTGTCCTGGTGTCTGCTGCTCGGGGCGCCCTGCTGGGTGGTCTCCTTGGCTGGCACTGGTCCTGCCCAGTTCGCCCTTCTTTCTCCTGGGTTTATTTGAATTTAATTTGATTTTAATTTTGAAACAGTTTCACCAAGTTGCCAATGCTGATCTCAAATTTGTGATCTTCCTGCCTCAGCCTCCTAGAGTTCTAGGATGACAGGCACACAACCACCGTGCCCTCCAGTATTTCTTCATCTCTTGTTTTTCCGAGTTTGTGGCAGAAGAAAGTTCTGTAAGAAGCAGAAAAGTACCGCCCATTCATTTCTTTTCTTTTTTCTTTCTTTTTTTCTTTCTCTCTCTCTCTTTCCTTTCTTTTTCTTTCTCTTTCTTTCCTTCTGCACAGGGAATCAAACTCAGGGCCTCTGCTGAGCTATATCCTCGGTCCTCCACCCATTCATTTTGGAGTGGGTTTAGAAAAACATAAAACACAAATAACCATGTCAGTATCTTGTCAGAGACATCTCAGGAATGCGCTCAGGAGAAAAAATACATTTTAGTTCTTCATATTCTTGGTATTAATTGGGGTCTGGTGTTTTGCATTTCTTGCCGCAGGGAGCTGATAAGTCGCCTGCAGGAGCGTGGGGTCCAGGTGTTCCTCATCTCCGGAGGCTTTAGGAGTATCGTAGAGCATGTTGCCTCAAAGCTCAACATCCCAGCCGCCAATGTGTTTGCCAATAGACTGAAATTCTACTTTAACGGTAAGACGTGACAGGAACGCGCCCCTTTCCTGCCAGACCCGGGGCTCCTTGTCCCGGGCGGTGTCGGTTAAGGTCAATATCAGATCACTCTGGGCTGAGGGGTTCTGTTGTTTGGAATCTTTGGCTCTAGCTTTAATGTCCATATCATCACCTGTCTATATATAAACGGCTGCATTTAAGCTGGGCATGGTGGCACACGCCTGACATCCCAGCACCCTTGACATCCCAGTACCCGGGAGGCTGAGGCAGGAGGATCGCCAGGAGTTTGAGGCTGGCTTGGGCTACATATCGAGACCCCGTCTCAGCAAACAAACAAAAAATTGAAAATAAGTTGAATTTCCTCTTAGGAGGAATGACATATGAACATAGTAAATTTAGTCTATTTTACTATTTTCGGGAGTTTGGCCACCTCAGCAAGGTTTAGAATCACTGCACAGGAGCTCAGAGGATGCATCTGATTCACCCTGCAGTGTTCATGACCCCACAGAGCCCAGCAAAGGCGGCTGTAGTAGGAAGCGGGGGAGGGGGGCAGGCTCAGAGACTTGGGGGACCACTGGGCGCCTGCTCCGTGACATTGAGGCATTCAGCTGACCCCTTAGCATCATTCCGTGCAGCGGTAACACTGTTCTCTGCCCTTTCAAGGTGAATATGCGGGTTTTGATGAGACACAGCCCACAGCCGAATCTGGTGGGAAAGGAAAAGTAATAAAATTTTTAAAGGAAAAATTTCATTTTAAGAACATAGTCATGGTCGGAGATGGCGCTACGGACATGGAAGCCTGCCCACCCGCTGTACGTATCAAGGGGACGCCTCTTCTGGTTGTGATTTTGTTTGAGGCAGCTGATTCAGAACTCCGTAAGGTTTACAGCAGGAGTTAAACAAAAATAGCTGAGGTCATTATAAAACAAAGTAAAAACACAAAACAGCTAAGACAATCTCATGTCAATTGATTTTTTGCAAACCTAAGAATATTTATGGATAAGGAACTACTACTTTGAAAGCTTTTATGGCTGGGTGTGGTAGCACACTCTTATAATCCCAGCAGTGGGGAGGCTGAGGCAGGAGGCTCATAGAGAGTTCAAGATCACCTGAACTACGTAGCAAGATCCTGTCTCAAAAAACAAACAGAAACTTTTATTGACCCTTTGTCCCTGCGGCCTAGGCTGGGCTCAAACTTACAGCCCTCCTATCTCAGCCGCCCAGAGTGCTGGGATGACAACCGTGGTGCCATGGTGCCTGGCAAAGAAATGACCATTAAAAAAAAAATTAAGGGCTGGGGATTTAGCTCAGCAGCACAGTGCCTGCCTGGCAAGTGCAAGGTTGTGAGTTTGATTCCTGGTACCGGAAAACAAAAACCAAAACAAAAACAAAAACAAAATCATTTGGCAGGCGTGGTGACACATACCTGTCATTCCAGCACTCGGGAGCCTGAGACAGGAGGATTGCTGTGAGTTGGAGGCCAGTCTGGACGATATGGCGAGACCTTGCCTCAAAAAAAAAAAAAAGGAAAAAAAAAGATAATTGACTAAAGGAGGGGTCATTGGGCTGGGGATTTAGCTCAGCGGCACAGCGCCTGCCTGGCAAGCGCTACCGGAGAAAAACCAAAAAAAAAAAAGAAAAATAAAAAAGGAGGGGTCATTTAGTAGAATTAATGAAATGACGATGATGTAACTAGAAATTTTAACCATGAAAGTAGAGACTCAGGTTATCTTCCCCTTCTGCCCTGAACAGGCCAGCCACGTGACCCCGCCAGGGACCTGAGGGTCACTGCGGTCATTGCCCGTCACTGCGGTCATTGCCCGTCACTGCGGTCATTGCCCGCAGGGGTAGGGCAGGAGGTGGCGGGTGTGGTCCCAACTCTGGGTCCAGCAGGGTTGCCCCTACCCTGCAGGGTTCTCTTTAAAGTTAACCTGGCGTGTATGTGTTCATTTTTCAGTTTAGAATACAAAGCTTTTACCTCCGATGTGATCTGATCTTCGAAAGCATCTGTGGAGGTTTTAAGAGGACTTGGCCACAAGCTGTCTTTTCCCCCAAAGCTCCCACATTGTGCACCACAGAGGACAGGCTCACCTTTCTTTGTCGGAGTTTATTCTGTCAAACAAAAACAACGCCCTCTGCCAGGCATGGTGGCGCATGCCTGTAATCTCAGTACTCGGGAGGCTGAGGCAGGAGGATTGTGTGAGGTCAAGACCAGCCTGAGCTACATAGTGAATTCAGGGCCAGCCTACTATTGCGGCCTTGTTTCAAAAAACAAACAGAAATTGCCCTGACCTACTGCTGCATTATTTAAAAAAAAAAAAATTAACCTCCCTCCTTTTTTTCCTTTCTAGGATGTTTTCATTGGATTTGGAGGAAACGTAATCAGGCAGCAAGTAAAGGACAATGCCAAATGGTACATCACTGATTTTGTGGAGCTCTTAGGAGCACTGGAAGAATAATGCACATGTTTATGTGCCTTGTAACAACTTTCAGTCAACTTTGAACCGTTACATAGAGTGGTACTGCTGGCTTGCATTGCCAAGGATGACTTGGTATATAAAGTTGATTCTGTGTATACTCAAGTAAAGGATAGGACTCCTCGGAGACGGTGGGTTTTTAAAACATAGCTCAGTATTTTATTATGACTGTTAATTACCTGGGGAATTTCATCATCTGAATTCTTAGGTATAACCCTAGCTGTATTTTACTTGAAGCCTTTTAAAGGCGTATAATAAACTAAATACTTTCATTCTTGGATAGTTGAGTTCTGCGGCCTTAAGGGGACACTGGTGACCCCGTGGTATAAAAATAAAAGTTTATCTACTCAATTTGTGGGGTCTGAATTCTGCCTTTCATGCAGGGAACCGTCGGGTGAGGGAGGAGCTGAGATTTCTCTGCGTGTTCCTGGGCGCAGTGTCCTTGTCCCGCCAGCCACCCCGGAAGAACCACCAGTCCCTGCGGTCTGCAGCACATGCTGCTTCCCGAGGACACAAGAGGCGGGGGACAAGGAGGCTTTGTTGCAAGCCAGCTCCAGCTCCGAGGAGGCTGCTGGGGTTGGTGACTGCCTGCCACAGAGCTCTGTTTGACCTGGTGCAGGTGTGGAGCGTGGAGCTTGGAGCTGGGGGAGGAGCTGGAGAGGCGCCCCGAGCGGCAGCCGCAGCTCCGTCCCTTCCTCTGAGCGCAGGCTACCGCGCCTGGCAGCTCGACTCCACTTATATTAGTACATGTCTGCAGTATGGGAGGGCTCTGTGCCCCATGGGGCTCGCTCCGTGCACATAAAGCATCTTGATTCCTTTCTCCTCCCCATCCCTGCCCCGTCCTCTCCGCTGCCTTGATTCCCCTTCCCATGTGAGAAAGTTCTGGTTATTTTGAGGCAGGGTCCCAGTATGTAGTGCAAGCTGGCCTTGAACTCACAGTGATCCTCCTGCCTCAGCCTTTTCAGTTTTTAAAAATCCATTTTACTCTGTGACAGTTCTAAGACACGTTCTTTTTTTAAAATCTCTTAAAATGCTATGCATGGAATGTTATAAAGATTTTATAAAAGAAAACAATGGAGGCTTAAAAGTACTGGTCTTGTGGGGGGATGAGGAGAAAAAAAAAAGTACTAGTCTTTCCCGCACTCTAGAGGCTGAGGCGGGAAGATCACTGAGTTCGAGGTCAGACTAGGCTACATAGTGAGTTTAAGGCCAGTGGGAACTACATAGCAAGACTCTGTCTCAAAAAGTAAAAAAAAAAAAAAAAAAGTACCAGTCTTAAAAATAGAATATTTGAAAATTGCAAGTAGAAGAAAGACTTACTAATCACAAAGGCCAGCTTTTTCCTCTAAAAAAATTAGGAACGAACTCCCAACAGCACATGTGAATCCCAAGAGCGCAGGTAAATGGTACAGGTGACTTGGAAAGGCAGAGCTGCAAAGCTGGTTCCTGTTTATTTTGAGCGGTAACAAGAAAGGAAACTACAGTAAGAGCGGTGAAAGTATGCAATTCTCGCTCCCTGGTGGGGAAGGGAGGGAGAGGCCGAGGTTAGGGAGAGCTGTGCCGGGGAGAGGTGTGCCGCAGTATGATTGGGTTTGGGTTGGGTGGTGGTGGTGGTGGTGGTGCGGGGATCAAACCCCGGTGCTCTAAATTATCCGAAAAACTGATCATTTAACCAAATAGCCCAGTCATTAGCTAAATAAGTCAGATGCATCCAGTCTCTTTCAAAATCGGTTTCTGAGCTGGGTCTCATGGCCCCCACTGCAATCCCAGCACGCTGGGAGGCTGAGGCAGGTGGCTCGTAAGCCCAGCCTGGGCAACTGGCAACTTGGTGAGACTCGATATCAAAATGAAAAGGGCTGGGAAAAAAAAATTCAGTTTTTATCTGAGATGCGAAATAAGGTTGGCAACCGTTAAACCAAGGAGCTCACACACAAAGCAGCCGTTTCACAATTGTAAATGCCTCCGGCGGCGGCCGCCTCCTTGGCGCTGTCTGTGGGTCTGCAGGGCGGCGCCGCCCGGGCAGGACCAGGCCTGTGGGTGGCAGGAGGGCCGGGCCCGCGCGCCTCTGCGCGCACCGCCCGCCGGCAGGGCTCAGCCCGGCTGCGGACTGGCTGGGGGTCGGACCTGCGGGGGATCACGGTGCCCGCGGGAACTAGCTTGCTTTCCTTATTTTTTCTTTCTCCCCCTCCTCTTCCCGTTCTCTTTCTTCTTTTTCTTTCTCCCCCGGCCCCCCAGGGCCTTCACACTGAGCCACATCGCGAGCCCTTTTGAGATTCTAAGACAGGCTCTTCCCAAATCACTGAACTCCTGCCTGGACCTCGCAGAGCGCTGGGATTCCAGGCGTGTCCAGCCTCCGAATCTCTGGTACAATGCACGGCGCCTCTGGCACACAGCCTGCCCAGCTCTGAGCGCACAAGCCGAAGTAGCCTTCGCAGTCCTCTGTCAGGTCAGAGGGGCGAGTCTGAGGTAACACTAGAAATTTGCAACGAAGCTCAGGTGACAGAAGGCAGATCACACCCGCACAGGAGGCTCTACTTTTCCAGTTCTGGAATTGATAGAAATGTTCCCGGCCCCCCAGGGTTGTGCCCAGCTTCTCTCCTTGGTGACGCAGGAAAGGGCTTTATTCAAAGCCAGCTGCAGAGGCGACGGAGGGACCTCTGGTTGCCTCAGCCGCAAGGACTTTCAGAGAAGCAAGGGGTGCGGCACAGCGGGCTCAGCCAGCCCTTTTCCCACTGCCGTGCCCCGGCCCCAGGGCGCCTGCCCGACCTCGGGGCGGTGCGCACCTGCGTTGTCACCTGAGCCGCGCAGGGGCTTGGGTGGCCCTCGTGCCCCCAGGAGGAAGTTCAGAAGCGCCCTATCGTCACGAAAAGACAAACCGTGTGTTGTATGTGACACAGGGTCCCGCTATGTGGTTCACGGTGGCTTTGGACTCACAGTGATCCTCCCGGCCCCGCCTCCTGGGTGCTGGGATTACAGACCTGCACCATCATGCCCAGTTTAGTTTTTGAGATTGTATCTCATTAAATTGCTAAATTGCCCAAGCCGGCCTTCACTTTGCAGCCCTTGTCTCAGCCTCCTGACTGGCTGGGATTACAGCCACCTACACATCAGTGAGCCCAGCCAGTGCACACACTTTCTGAGTGAAAATGCCTGTTCTCAGCGTTTTCTCCCGTTCTGAATAGCTAGGTTACCCTTGCCAGGACTGCATGAATTCTGCCATTTTTCTTAAAGTAGCTTCATGTAAATCGTTCTTTGCCTCAAGTATCTTGCGAATGCGTGTCTGGCCCCGTGCCCAGGCTGGGGGAGGAGGGCAAGGGTGAACAGTCCTTGTTTGCAAACAGCTGAGGGTCTAGGGTGGTTTCGGATGGGTCAAGAAAAGTTGTTCTTTTCAGAACTCAATGAGGAAGGCTGAGCGGGCGATCCGTGCCCACTCTGAAGGTCAGGACACGGGCTCGGAGAAGAGCTGCTGCAAGCTCCGCTGTAAGTTCAGAAAAAAAGACCCCAAACATGGACTATGTGAAAATTAAGAGGATTTTATTGACTTTGGTATTTTCTCGGAGAAAAGCATTCACATGTAAAAGTTTAACATCTGATAAGAGATTTCCGCACACTTTATTTTACACATCAATTCCTCAATTTGTGGGGGCAGACGTCGTTTTTCAGTTCACCGGGACAGTCACATGATTACAGTCAGGAGATTGGCACACGACATTGAAAAGGAAATCACAGAGCGGGCGAGACACAGCACTGTACGCAGCTGTACGCGGAGCGGGGCCGCAGCATGCACTGCCCTTCACACGTGATCTCGGACGTCTATGCTACGAGCTTACTAAAACAGTAACCGGAGAATGTCTGAGGTCACAAATGATTCTTTATAAAATAAAACCTCTTTTCCGAGTACTGCTTGCTTTATAGAAAAATATTACAAATAAAAATTAGTGCTATTCAAGGTGTTCATTTCAAAAATCACGTATGATACATGGGTTGAGGCCTCCTCCCCACCCCCAGGGACGACACGACGTCCTCCGCGCAGACGGGGTCCCTGGGAGGTGCACTCGTCCACCCCGGTTGCTCCCTCTGACTGGTCAGGAAGGAGCGGGAGTTCGAATCTCTTCGGGCACTGGGTACACTCACACCAGTTCGTAGCTTGAGACTCAGAAAAACTGCTTGAGGGACAGGATAAAATGGGCATTTCTTCTGGATGCAAGAAATTTGTCAAGGGGCTGGGGATTTAGCTCAGCGGCACAGCACCTGCCTGGCAAGTGCGAGGTTGTGAGTTTGATTCCCGGTACCGGAAAAAACCCAAAAAATAAAAATAAAAATAAAATTTGTCAAAATCTGTGATTATAAAATGCATTTGCTTTTTAGAAAGAAGTGGCTGATTTTTTGTTTCCTGGTTGGAATCTTATTCTGAAATGATTCCAGTGTGAATCTGGGCCCTCTCTTCCTGGAGGGCAGGGCGGGAAAGCTGTCTTCTGCGTCTCAGAGGCCTCTGGAGCTCTGCTCCGGCACTGTCACACAGCTTCCTTTCTCGGGACTAGGCCAACTTTCGAGAAAAGAGGTCTCCTGTAAGCTCTGTACAGCCATTTATAATCAGCGTTTCTTTTCTCACTTGATAGTTAATTTAGGACAAGTACCTGCCACATGCGCGTACGAGGGCACACACACGCTCCAGCTTTACTGCAGGGGCGAGGTCTTCAGCGGGATCATGATCCTGGACTCCATCTCCTGAATGAGCGGGACTGAAAGCAGGAGCAGAGTGACTGCCGAGCCCGTCGGAGCATCACGCCCGGCACACACACACTCACCAACGGGCTGCTCTTAGAACAGAGCAGACGATCAGAAAGCAAATCTGACCTCAGGGCAGAAACCCACGCGCTGAGGAGGGGTAAGCCAGTGTCCCGAGAGACACTCCTCACACCACAACACCCTTCTGGGGATCTATTCAATTTGGGGCAAACTGGGAGAGTCCAGCACGTCAGAAAAAGGTGATCTCTTCAAAGGATCTTTGCACTAAAGTGAATTTATATAAAACCAAGAATCCTATACAAAGATACAGACGGGCTACATTTGTTAAACTGACATTTGTTAAACTCTGGGAACTGATAAAAGTATAAGTAAGCCATAGAACTCACATACATTATGATTTTTTGGAACTAAGAGGCAAGACAGTACCTGCTTCCTGGAGCGCACGACGCGCGCGCTTGGTAGCCCACAGCTTACACGCACCTGACCTCAGCACGACAGGCGGCTACGGCCTCCTTAGTACCACTGGCTTGGACTTAGCCCAGCGGATTTCTTACACAAATCAAACCAACAGGATTTCATAACCCATGTACGCCCGTCTCTGTGTCCACATGCACACACCGTGCATGTGGAAAGCTAACCTGTCAAATTTAATTTCACATTTACTCTTATTTGTTGAAGCTGGGCCACCTCCTCGGCTCCCACACTACTTTTTTCAATTGATGCACTAAGTCATGTTTTTGGGAACTGAGGATTTTGGTGAAACTCACCACCCCAACAAATGGTATAATTTAAAAAACACACACATTAACTTCAGGTTGAGAATACAGTTACAACAGGACAAGGAAGTGTTTTAGGGTCACCTGTGTAATACACCAGCTCCTCCCAGCCATGCTTGTGCCAGGCTGCGTTCCGCGTGTCTTCCCGGCTCTGCAGATCCTTGTAAGCTTAAACACAGAGAGGAAGGACTCAAACCAAACCCAGCACCACCCCCGACAGCCCCCCATCCGGCTGGCCCCCTTTCCTCAAACCTGCTCCAGCACTAAGTACGGAGCACCGAGCTGGGGACACGGACAGCCTGCTATGCTGTGTGAGGCCCGGGATGACCTGCTCTTCACACCTCAGCCCAGTGAGCGCTGGACACGCTTCGACAGCAAGGGGGCTTTTCAGACCAGGTCAGGTGCATTCAGGGAGGTGTGACCAGAGAGAGCAAGGGAACTTTTTTCTTTTCTTTTTTTGAGACAGGGTCTCACTATGTAGTTGAGGCTGGTCTTGAATTGACTCTGTTACCCAGGCTGGCCTCAAATTCACAGCAATCTTCCTGCCTCAACCTCCCTAGTGCTGGGACTATAGGCATGCACCACCAGGCCTGGCAAGAAAACTTTTAAAAAATATGTTAAATTCATAACCGGAACCTGTCAGGCCATTGGTAATAACATCACATTCACTTTTGCTCAACATGGGCTGGGGGGTGTCGCGATGCAATGGTGATTCCGTTCTACGATGTATAGTGTGTGCTCAGCACGCAGGAGGCCCTGGGTTTGGCCCTAGCGCCTTAAAAAAAAAGGCAAAGTTTTGCTCAGTACTTGTAAAGAGCCGGAGATATAGCTCAGCGGTGCAAGTGCCTGCCCGGCAAGTGGAAGGTCCTGAGTTCGATTCCCGGTACCAAAAAAAAAAATCAATACTTGTAAAGCCCTGCGTCCATTTGGGAAGAGACCGCCTTCAATGCAGTGGAGAACAGAGACAAAAAAAGCCAGGCTGGCCCGCCTGAGGGCTGGGGCCAGGGGCCAGGGGCCAGGGGCCAGGAAGGGGAACTGCGGAACCAGGGGAGCCCCGAAGGCTAGCAGGGGCAGCGCGGGCCCAGAAGGAAGCACTCAGGACGGGACAGGCGAGGTCCC